ACCGGTAGGTTCAACCGCTCTTATCTATGGAATTTTAGGGTAATTGAAATGAACTTGGTGGCTGAAAAATCGCAGCTGTATCTTAACGAATTCACAATGTGGTAGTACTATTACGCGGTTGATTTACATTCAGCTATATGAACTGGTCAGCTATACACGATAAGTTATACTTGTTTTCAGAAATGACCTAAAAGTCTGGAACGATGTTGTGAAAACTAACCGGTTAGCTGATCAGCTTTCTTTCCCTCTGGGTGAGGAAAGACTGTTGTCGACGGAAAAACCAGCGGACAGAGCCGAAGCGTTCAAGGTAGGTAGCGTTGACGTTTCATTAGAATCAACTCACATCAAGCTTATCTTATATAACTGCCTAAATTGACCTTTTCAGCCTAAGACTGACTTTGAGAAAAAAATGATGGAGATGTGGAATGGTTCAAAGAACAACATGACAAATGATACAGTGTACACAAAAGCTGAGTTGGAGATAATACGAGCAATGGATGTGAAGGAGGTACTAACGTTTCTTTTATTTTCCTTGTTAGAACGTTCTGAAGTCAGCGTAGCGTTTCAACTGAAAATGTAAGCGTATGGGGAAAGTCTAGCAGTCTAAGTCATTGTTCATTTGAATATGTTCTAGTTNAAATGATACAGTGTACACAAAAGCTGAGTTGGAGATAATACGAGCAATGGATGTGAAGGAGGTACTAACGTTTCTTTTATTTTCCTTGTTAGAACTTTGTTCTGAAGTCAGCGTAGCGTTTCAACTGAAAATGTAAGCGTATGGAGAAAGTCTAGCAGTCTAAGTCATTGTTCATTTGAATATTTTCTAGTTTTTCTGAAACCTTCCACTCGTTACTACCTTTTCTTGCCAATTTTGCCTTCCCTTCTCAGCTTTTCAAATTTTACCGCGAAGGAAAAGCAGAGAAAAGGGTCTTAGTTAGTTTAGAAGGTTAGTCAGATATAAGAACAGCGCCTTAAACGGCTGAAACGAAGTCCAGCAGGAAGCGTTGCTGTCAGTGTTGCGAATATTTTCTTGCTGTTCGGTTTTTGAACTCCGTTGTCTAGTCGGAATTTCTGTGAAATTTTTTTTGTTGACTTACAAGAGCATTATTTCAATAACGACTAATTTTTCAGGCCAAGGAAAAGTTAAGTCAAATGCAAAAGATGCGTGCCCTAATTAGCTATCGAGAAGCGAAGTACCGATATGCAGCTAAGATCAAGTCTAAACGGTCAGTTTCTTTTGATTAATAACAGTTTCTCTGAATAAACGATTGACCTGATATGAGGTGATACGGTGCGCTCCATCTCTGTCTCTTAACGTTAAGCATCAACGCTGATATTTCCGACTGCTGTCGTGTGATCAAGTCCAGAGCTCAAGGGCCATCAAGTTTTCAACCTGAGGCCCTTTCACCTTCAGTTTTCTCATGTTGCAGGTTCTCACTCTCAAAAAGCCAGCAGTTCAACTTATACCTTCGCTCCCCTCAGCCCTCCAAAATTTTTCTGAGCTATCATTATTTTCCTCAGAAAGCTTCAAACTTTTCACCTTCTCCTGGGCTCTGAACTTTCATTATGGTGTACAGTGGGCCTTGTTCTTGCAAATAACTTCCTGACATTCTAACCATTTATTCAAAGGTGACTGGCTTTGACATTCTTTCAGATATCATCGAATCCTCAAACGTCAGAAACGGAAACAACTCATCAAAGAATTTGACGACCTGCTGGTACGGGATCCAGAGGCAGCAAAAGAAAAACTGCTAGAACTTGAAAACCAACGGATCATCGTATGTTTTCCGAGACTCGTCTTCTGGTGTCTTACCTAACTATTTCTTGTTCAATGGCTTGTTCCTAACCTACTTCTGTATTCGGTAAATAAATCTCAAACTTATTTTATAGGAACGCGGTTCATTAAAGCATCGTGCTCGAACGAAATTTCAACAGGACATAGTGAAATATGCAGGTCGAGATTCTCGCGCTAAGCAGGTGTTAGAAGAACACTTGAGGTAGATTTTTCAAAACAAATATCCCACTAATTTGTTCAATTACCATTTTTGTGCACTACTCAATATGAGCGTCATTATTGTCCTTATCAGAATCGGACGTGAATTCAAAGAAAAGGTTTCAATGGAATCTGAAAGTGAAAATGAGGAAGAAGAAGAAGAAGAAAAGAAGGGAAAGAAGATGAGCGTCTCAGAAATGATAAAGGTACATCAGAAAACCTTCTGGTTCCAATTCCTTTATTAGCTTCCTTCAGAAATCATTGATGTAGTCCGAGGTTATTTTCTTAGAGTGCGGCTCTGGCTGCAGCAAAGGGAGACGGTGCAGAAGGTACGTCTGGTTCCACTATGGACGCAAAAGAGGCTCAAACGGCATTATTCGAGTTGAGAGCGGAAAAACGACGGCAGTTAGAAGCGGCTAAGGCTAGAGCTGTGGAAAAGGTTAGCTGATATTATCGGTTGACCAGTTCTCCGGCCAATTTTACCTTGATCGCTTATTTATTTATTTACTTACTACATTTGAGCAGAGAGTGCAGTTTCCACTAGTAGCGCACTATACTGATGGATGAAAATCAGAAGGAAAAGAATCAATGTGTAGAAATATTATGAAGAACTAAAAATATAATTAGGAATGAAAATGTTATTGTTCATAAGTTGGTAATGATTTTGTTTTCTTCCCAGGAAGCTTGACAGAAATTCCTTTCCCTGTTCTTCGTATCCCTGATTGTTCAAGAAGAGTAATTCAGACGTCATCGGACCCGACACCTTTATTCAAGCAAGATAATGACTGGACTATTGCCGCAAGCGAGACTACTTCTACAGCTGAATCTGAAACTGACGGTAAAACAAAGAAGAAGAAGAAGAAAAGGAAAGCGCAGGATTCTGATGAACAGCCCGCTGTGTTGGAAGATTCTGCTGCAGAAGCCAAAGCGAGCGTTCCGGCAACGGAAAATCCTGATGGTGAAGGGAAGAAAGGTTAGTTTACACGTTTTCTTGTCTTCAAGAGAAGTCCAAGGCAATGCTTGAAGGCAAATGCAGATTGTATCCCTCATTTCGCTTTGGTTTTGGATGTAAAGTGGTTACTGTGATGGGGAGCTGTAGTATGTAGTCATTTATTTCGCTCAGTGTGGCTGCTTTCGTAGTTCATGGCGTAGTGGGCAATCAGGAATGCTCAAAATCGATAGATATTCAGGCGTTCATTTTTCGGCTTTGTTTTCTTTCCCGTTGTTTGTCTGAGTACTGCGATCGTATCGATTGCTTTATGTATGGTTGATTGTATAGTTTACTGAAGTTCCTAGTGAAAGAAACAGGTGAAAGCGGGCAAGCACTCATCACTCCCCGTGCCTAATTTCTTGCAGCGCTTAAGCAGACCTCCCAGTTCTCAGTTATGGGTTATGTGATGGGCATACTCTGACGTTGTGAAACGAGCAACGGGCATTCCGAAATCGAAATGTCAAGCTTCCTNGCGTAGTGGGCAATCAGGAATGCTCAAAATCGATAGATATTCAGGCGTTCATTTTTCGGCTTTGTTTTCTTTGTCGTTGTTTGTCTGAGTACCGCGATTGTATCGATTGCTTTATGTATGGTTGATTGTATAGTTTACTGAAGTTCCTAGTGAAAGGAAACAGGTGAAAGCGGGCAAGCACTCATCACTCCCCGTGCCTAATTTCTTGCAGCGCTTGAGGACCTCCCAGTCCTCAGTTATGGGTTATGTGATGGGCATACTCTGACGTTGTGAAACGAGCAACGGGCATTCCGAAATCGAAATGTCAAGCTTCCTCTGCTGGTCGCTTATGACTTAGCGTATCACAACAAGGTGTATGGAACGAGTATGGGTACATTCACCCAGAACAGGATGGACGCGGCAAACCGCGCGGCGAAATTCGAGGTAGTTAATACGGTTTTGGCGCCTATCANTGGGGCACGGGTTTTCAAGTAGATTGGATAAGTAGGGCCAGCTGATGCTACTTATCTATCCCACTTCGAATTTGTGCCCCAATGATAAGCGCCAGAGTCGTTTTAATCAAAACGAACTTCGCCGGGCGGTTTGCCGCATCCATCCAGTTCTGGGTGAATGTTCCGTCCCCCGTATGGAACCAACCACATTTGGGCCTGACATCACCACGGAAACCCCATTATCGTTGTCTCGTGGGATGAGGTGTGAACTGTGAATTGTGCGAAATGTACGTGTTATTTTACGACTATTGGTGAAGGGCTAAATTTTCGTTTATGTGGCATGCATCAGTTTTTCTCTGTTGCTCCTCGCCTTAGTCTTTTATCATCTTCTATCTATGATTGTTGAGTGATCAGTATGTTTGTGGAGTAGAAACTGTAGGATGAGCACCGGGTTGGGTGAGATGGTTACCTCATGTAAAAGTTGGGTTGCATTCAATTAGCTCGCTCAATGCTCCCTCCCTCTTTGAGCTTCGGTAAGAGCTACACTCATGTGGTAAAACATGAGAAAGCCCGTGATACCGCCTTAACCCCTTGTTCTATCGCTACCCGTTTCACCTTCTTTGTGCTCACGATCAACAGAGCTAGAGTGGTGAAGAGGTGTCGAAAAGCCGCTTGATGTCATGTTTAGAGAAGAAGATACCAGTGGATTTGAGTGTGCCAAGCGCCTGTTATTTACAGCCGTCTTGTTCGGTAGTCCAGCAGTAAGGGAGGTGCTGGGTCTATTTCCCTTTTGGCAGTGCACCATGCTTTTAATAGTACTGCACTTGATTAATGGAAAGCTCGAGTTATTATGTTGTCAACCTGTTGGATCGCCATTATTTTCTTGATTTTAATCAGTTTACATTTAGGCAAAAAGAAGAAAAAGTGCGTAACCTTCGATGAAGTTACTGAGAAAAGCGATTGCAACACGAAAGACATTGATAAGCTATTCGATGCGGCTGAAGAAAAGATAGTCGAAAGCATAAAAGAGGTAATCATGGGAATTTTTATACCTACGAGTCCTCAGCAAATTCAAATGCTATGTGTAGGTGGCGAAGAAAATACGAGAGGAGGAGCAGGAACAGTTAAGTCCACCAAAAGAAGAGAAGAAAAAGAAGAAGAAATCGAAAAAGGGAGGGGAAGAACAGAAGAAGAATGAAGCCGTTGATATATCATTAGATCCCAAAAACTTCCTTCAGGTATAATTTAAAGACAAATATGCGCTTTCAAACCTGCCAAAACCTTGTTTTCAGGTGGAAACGACGAATTTGACAAAAGTATCGGCTGAAGCAATGGACAGGATGGATGAGTTCGATGAAGGTCAGCACATGAAATTTTCACCGGTTTCCACACAATTTTCCAACCCTGATTAATAGTAGTAGTTCAGATCAAGCTCACGTTATTGCGGAGGCTTTCAAAGATGATGACGTCATTGGAGACTTTGAAGAAGATAAAATGCTGGTAATTGATCTTATCTGTTTTCAGTGTATTAAAAGTGAGGAATCAGTTCCACCCTAGATTTTCTTGGTCATCCAATCCTTTGAAACTGTTAGATCCAGTGAAGAGCCATTCATGATATTTATGATTAGGATATCTCTTTTACCTATGTCTGACAGGCACAACATTTTGAGACGTTTAGTGATATTTTGACTAATAATAACCAGATCGTTTTTTGCAAGGATCACTTGCTGCATTTGAATAAATCTTCATTTTATAGCGATTGGTTTCAGGTTGAGGAAGGTGAGCGCCCAAAAGACGTCGATCTCACGCTACAGGGATGGGGATGTTGGGTTGGTCCGGGAATGACAGAACGAAAGCGACGTAAACAGTTTGTCATAAAGGCAAGAGAGAAAAGGCGCAAAGACAAAAATCGACCTGGACTAATCATTAAAGAACTCGACGAAAAGGTATATACTTGATTTATCATTAGGATCTTCACCCATTTATTTTCTGTATTCTTGATTATTATCTATATCGTACTAACGAATAGGAGTTATTAAAACCGCTGAAAGCTAGTGTTTCAACATCCTAATGACTGTTCCTGTACGTGATTTGGGGAAGTTCTTTCCTTGACACGACGCCGTCCCTTGCAATTCGCAAAAGAAGCCTTCTTTATGAACATTGCTTATATCATGAAGTGGCGATAATCAGCTGCTCTCTAATCAGCTGTCAGCAGCTATCGATTGAGTCACTTTTTTCCTCTCATCTTTGTCTGTTATGTCTCAAGACTTAATGGTTTCCTTATCTGCCCATAGTTCTTTTGCTTTTGAATATTACTCCGAATCTTAACCATCAGCAACTGAGAGTAGGCCCGGCTACGGTGAATCGCAAAGTTACACTAATTCACTATAGGAATGGTGATATACTGCAACCCAACCTCGCTTTTGTCGGGCCAAAATGATCGGGAACCTACACTATCCCTGTTAAAGATAGTGTAGGTTCCTGATCATTTGGCCCATATTTTTCCGTCCTTATGAGGGAATTCCTTTAGCCAACCATGGGGAAACTTTACAATCAACAAAATAAAGTTAATCAATACATGTTACATTTGTAATTTTCTTTACAGAGTATAAGTAAGCTCCAACCGACTAGTCTTCCGTTTCCCTACACAAGCGTAGTGGATTTTGAAACAATGGTCTCACAACCTATAGGCAAAGACTGGAATCCAATAGGAGTCGTCCAGGAACTGTGCAAGCCTTCAGTCGTTACTCAGGTATGGTATGTTTATAAGATGAACAAAAGACTTGTTTCTGAGCACGGATCAACCTTTTACCGATTTGAGCAGTACTTGTTCATTGACAGACGATAAATCAGAAATTTCAGGGTGGTCGTACTATACGCCCAATGGACAAGGAGGATGTTCTTGCTGGAAAATTAGCGCTCGATACAGATTGATCAAAAGATATATGGTTTTGTTGCGTTGATTTGTTGTAATATTATATCTGTGATTGTTAAGACAGACTTGTTAGTTGTTATGAGCCAGTTATCTATTCAAAAGAAAGTTGTTATTCAACTTGGTTTTGTTATTTTAGTGTCTAGAAGGTTGTTAACCTTTGATATCTAAGCTTTTAATTTTTTTGGTGATGATTACTGGACATCAAAATAGCTTCCGAAAAGCATTTCCTAGTGAACAGGTATCAGCATGGCTGACGACGATGACTATCAAGATATGGATAACGACGATTACGTCGATGATGATGTTGAGGATGTGGATTTGGATCAGGGAGAAGATGAACAAGACGACCACAGAATTGACATTATAAATGTTATTATTTGTCTTGCATGAAGAGCTGAGCCGATAACTTGTAATCAGACTGTTTTCAGGCAGAAAAAGGAACAGCTTCCACGGACCGTGTGACAACGCCGTTTATGACGAAGTATGAACGTGCTCGAGTTCTGGGAACACGTGCTCTTCAGATTGCTATGGGTGCTCCGGTGATGGTGGAGTTGGAAGGAGGTGAGTACTATAAAGACTAGCGAAGAACATGAGCACTTTGAACCTACTGCAAAGTGTGGAGGACGGTTGAAAAGTCATACGTTCTTTTCGATGGCGTACTACTGAGCTATGCAGCTATCCAACCAGTTATGTGATCTGGGGCTCCCCAACTCCATCAATTTGCAGTGTGCTCAATGCTTTAAATAAAAACAAGCTTCCATTCATATCCGTTGAACACTTTTTTGATGTAGTTCTATACAGAAACTATATAGATACGTGTATTCTGGAGCGAAAATATTATACTTACCCTGAATATCGATTCTATTCATTGTTCTACGACGATCCATGTGTTAATTCTTTTAAGACACGCGTATTTATGGCTCCGACAGTACTTACGAATGATTATTTCGTTATTTCGACACTTATTAGCTTTAGCGCTCCGATTTAGTTGGAGGGGCGTTTCTACAGACATTGGAATAGGTCCAAAATTCAAGAATTCCAAAGGAAAACAATATTGCAACAGTCCCATGCTCTATTCTTCAGAAACGGATCCGCTGGAAATAGCTCGTAAGGAGCTAAAGCATCGGCGTATCCCAATCATTGTTCGACGTTACCTACCAGATGGCTCATTCGAGGATTGGTCTGTTGATCAGCTCCATGTGACCGACTGGTGAAATGGCTGATCATGTTATTTTTGTTTGCTGTTATTTCATTTCTCTTTACTGTTGAGCCTGTTGGTATACACTTTTTGGCATTGTTACACTTTAAACTGAGCAGCTGTCAACTAAATAGTGAGGGCCAGCTGGAATTGTACCATCTGAAGATGTATGAAAGCATTAGAAATCTCGATTTTCCACGGCAATAGTGAATTGTAGCTGACGTGAGTAAATTGTGACTTGGACTGTTTTTGTTACGCATTTGATGGTCGAGGTCCACACCTACGTTGTACCCATTGTAAGCATAAGAGCTCACGAGTTTTACAAAAAAATGATTTTGTATTTGAACTTGCTGCTCAGCTTGACTTCGCAAACCACTTAGTTAATGGGACTAGTTGGAAGGTAAATGTGAAAGGTTAGAATAACAAAAGTCCTCCAAAGTTGGTGCAAGTGAGCTGATTTCAGGATCTCTGTGAGTACTTATTGTTATTCATGAACCAATAGCCTAATTCCGAATTTAACCCAGAGCCACTATATCAGTCTTTCTAAATGATGATTTTCATCGTCCAGCTATGGTACCTTTCCCTAGCTTACACCAACGCGCTCCGCCACACACGTACACTCTAATCCTTATCGTTAGGTCTCACCCCTTCACGACCGAAACTCCTTGACAATGCTAAGCTCTCTCATGCTTAAAGCAGGCACAACAACAACCCAACTATTAAGTTGTGCACAGCTTGAGATGTGAAGGCTCCTCATATCATAAAGCCTTACCAAGTACACATACAAAAAAAAAATCCTTATCGCTCTACAACTTTATACGTTCTACAAACTTGAACTCAAATAGATGCTACGATAACTTCCTTGAGTTTCTTGACGCGAGAGGCTATCGACAGATCAACGTACTTATCTCCTATGGTTACCACTAGACCACCCATAATCGCTGGCTTGACAGTGTATGTCACGTTCAATTTTTGTCCAGATTTTGCCATCTGAAAAGACTAGCATGAGGTATGGTAGAATGAAGTAATTAAGCCAGCTAAAGTTTAGACTTCTAACCTTATGGAGAGCATCATTCAGTGCGGATTCGTGAGACTTGCTGAGGGGTTCAGCAGAAGTGACCTTAAGGAAATGAATAAAAAAGCAGCATCACTACTATACACCGGGGAAAACGCGCCTCTACAGATTATAAAAAACCCTCTACAGATATTGGAAATGGAGTCTGCGATTGAATAAAAGCAATTTTGATTGTTCATGGTTAACTATACGGAACAATGAAACAATCCATAGTACCTGAACGAAAAGTTCGCCTCTGTGAGCCCTCATGATGTGTTCGAAGGAAGAGACAACTGCTTCTAACTTGCTAAGACGGCCGTTCTCAGCCAGCAGACCTGAGAACTTCTTTTGAGAGCATCAAAAAGTATTGATGTACACATAACGAAATTGAAGTAATGCAGACACAAAAACAAAACAAATATGTGAGAAGTATGAAAAAAACCTAACCGAGAAAATTGGTAGACTCTTTGGCTAAACCAAGCTTCTTGGCTACTTCAAGAGCTACGGCCTTTTTCTTTTGTGCTTTGAGGGTCGGATTCAGAACGAAATTCTGCAACATGATAATCAAATCACACTGAAAAGAAGCGGACTGGGAAAACTCACTCACTACTAGTACTCAAGTACTAGTCGTGAGTGAGTTTTTTTAGTTAGTTTTTAGGGAGTACTCACTTTGAAGCTTGGATCTTGCTGGTAAACTCCTCTGATCTTTTGAAGATCTTTGTCAACCTGCTCAAGGCTCTTCTGCTTGTGAGCAGCTGAGTAAAGGGCAGATGCGTAACGTCCTTCGATACCATGAACCTGAACTCCAACCCTTATTATGCAGAAATTATATTATTCTTACACATACATATTTCAAAGAGTCATCTCGGCTGAAACGGGGCTTCAAAAGCAAAACATTGTTAACCATATGCATGTATTGATGTCAAGCAAGAGCATTTCGCACATCTTTTAGTAATCTCCCTGGAAGATACAGAGAAGAAATTCCACTATACCAACTCCTGAGGACCTTTGGGAGATGTTCAATTGCAGCAAGTCGAATTGTCCCCACAAAAAGGCAATGATAAAAAATGGCAAATAACCTAATAAAACAATTATAAAAGTATTACCTGTACCGGAACCTTGACGAGACCCGAGAAAGCGGTGGCGCTCATAGAAAACGATCTCTTCAACATCTGCGCCATCCCTTAAACAGAAATTTATTAAAAAGACACTCCAGCTACAAAGATGAGGCTTTTGCTTTCAAATGCGAACATGACGTAGATCATGACAAAAAATGAAACTCCAAATAGCTATGTGCAATATCTCGCGAAATCCGTCAAGCTAGGAGACGAATGAAAGAATACGATGGATCCTCGTTATCATTGGCAGTTCTTAGGAACTAGCCTCTTCAATAAAATTCTTTGAAGATCAAGTAATAATCGCAAAAGAGTCAAAATTATGCCTTTCCACCGAATTCCCAATGATAGAGTGTTAGTCAGGCGGAACGAAACCCTTCCAAAAACTATGACACCCACAATCGATCTAAGTAGCCGAACCTAGCACTATCCAGGCAACTTTTGCCGATGTCCCACGAAGACCATTGAAAGGCCCCTTTTAAAAGATGGTTTACTCTGAATTCCGAAAGTTCATACTAGGAATCTTGGAAAGATTGAAAATCGTTTTCGCTGAACACTTCATCACCGTAACATGCGCGGATCATAGAGCTCACCCTTGGCAAAATGCCAAGTGGTCCTGCAACGCATACTGCGCGTCGACTACTGGCCACAGCGATACGCAGTCTCAGCTCGCTTTTCATTATAGAAGTAAATTTGAATTGAGGTATGCGTTATATAATTTCTTTTTAACTTACTTCGTTCGATTGGAGGAGGATTTTCACTTCTATATGAGGGCTTTCTTGTGGGAACTCAAATGAGGTTCGATGTGCTGGCAAAACTGTTTTTGTAGCTCTGAGATGTTCTTTTGTTATTTTTTAATATCGCTTTTGTTCCCATCTTGTTTCTAAGAGTTACTTTGCAGCCGTACTGACAGTGCCTGTTGCTTTTATTGATTAATTTTTATTTGCTTTGCTTTTCGTCGATTTCATTGTGTGTGTGGGTGTTGCCACTGGTTGTGCAATATTGCGCCGCATACATAATGCTTGATTTTGCCCTTATTCTCATCATTCGCAGCTGTGTCACTCCCCCGTGTTATCTGGTACTTATTCGCTTTCATTCGCTGTTCATATTCAAGTTTGCCCCTCCTCTGTGATTAAAGTTAGTTGTGTTTCAGCGAAGCCAGAGCTCAACTAGGACGAATCATGCCTTTGGCTATTGATTTGCTACACCCTGATCCAGAAATTGAACGTCAGCGCCACAAGCTGAAACGACTTGTTCAACATCCTAACAGTTATTTCATGGACGTTAAGTGCCCAGGATGTTTCAAAGTAAGTGTAGTTTATCAAGTTGCCTTGTGATATGCTTTTAGTTATGATTGGACATCTTGTAGGAGCATTCTTTCTCTGACTACTGCCAAGACTTGTAGTCCCTTCCAGGCCACGGATCTTGTCAACCAGTAAGGGGCCCTTCTTCTACTTTTTGAAATGAAGTCAATCGCCGGACTGATTAAGTAGCAATAAAGTCATTGATTTGAAGGAGGGCTTGAAAAACTAGGAACCCTCCATAAAGTATGCGCTAATTTAGCGAGTGTTGTATTGATCGTAAGACAGTTAGGTCGAGCTCCCTGTAACACTTATAATCGGTACTGGGCCGTGACATAGCAGAGACCAATTGTCGATGCTATAAAAAAGCACTCGTTGGGCGCATGCAGGCGTTCAATCGCCCAATGTGCATATGATCAGTTCGATTTCTCCTCGGACCCTAAAGCGGTATTTAATGTTTCTTTGAATAGGTATAGGTTAGCACGTGCTTATGTGAACACATGGTGAAACCCATGGTTTACTGTAGTAAGAGTTTGGGCGAGAAACGATTTGAGCCATTATTGGCGGACCCGTTTTATTTGAGTAGTTGCGGCGAAATATCAGGCTTGATTTAGGCTGTTGAAAAGAGTTGTCTCTTGCCATAAGACCACTTTCCGATTCCATCGGAAGTTTCCGTTTTTCGGCTATCTCCTATGAGTGAGGCCAAGGTAGTACCCCGCAGAAAAGGGGAGAGAATAAGGTGAATAAGTAAAAGCTCAGCATAAATAACCTGACGAAAATGAACGCTATGGGTTCTAGCACGGGTGCATTCGCTTACGTAACCGATCATCTACAATAAACCAAGAGTTGCGGTTTTGCAGCACAGTTGTAGTGAAAGTAACAGGACCGTTACCAGCAAAAGTTATTGATTTGCAGTGCTCTGTTTGTTTTTTTTAGAAATGAACAAAGAGGATTTAAAAAGCATCGGTTATGACGAAAGGGTACTGTAAAAAGTATGATTGTCAAGTTCTGAAATGTGCTGTGCACTCAGTTCTGTCGCCTAAAAATCCTGATATTTTGCGAATAGAGTTAAGGGGCGCTCCTTATTTGGGGCTGGCAAAGAGAAAACCACTGAAGGGCTCGTTCGAAAGATCGCGAACCTCCGTGATATTCATGGCCACCGCATCGTCTAAATACTGCTTCGTTGTTAAGATTTTTCCGCTACAGAAAACGTTGTAGGGGTGGTGTCGCTATTTGTAGGGGTGGTGTCGCTATAGGGAGTTAGCAATCTTCCGAATTTGGATACTGCTTTTTGGGATTGGAATTTGACGCCACACTGCCTGTTAGTACTTGAAGTGACGTGGCTTCTCCGTATACAACAGGATGGCAATTAAAGTTTTGCTTGACGATCCGCCCCAGTGACGCGGAAACAGGCTATTCTGGTAGTTTGGTCCTGACGTTCTGCCCCGTTCTGTTTCCTTTGTTTGGTTTTGCTTCCATGTATCGTTTAATAGCCTGTACGTTATATTTAAACTGTTTGTTTTTATTTTATCTCTTTTCTTATGAGGCCCATTCGCCTCTCGCGAATGATTGTACGTGGTACTGAGTGGCGTGAAACCATCTCAATGAAATTGGGAGCCCTACCTCGGTAACCGTGCAGATTGCAATTTCACTTCATTCGTCAATGATTGTGCAACTAAACAATGACGAATGAAGTGAAATTAATCTATCATGCCTTCGAACTTTCTGAATTTTGGTGCCCATAATTTCGGTATACCGTTATATCCAGTTATAGACAGGCTTTTTTCAATAGGTTGTCATGTTCTGTATTGGCCTACCTGCCTCATTTATCACCTTCATCACCTTTTGGGTTGCATAAAGTTTGTTATTCCTGCTGCATATTCTTAGGTTCCTTTTCATGGTATTATTAGCTATTTGCCATGATTGATGTTGAAGTATATAATATGCAGAAAGATCAGAACTTTAGAGAAAGCATATCCTCCCCATTTGATGCATGATATGATTTTCTAGTAGCAGTTACCTTCAAATAGAGCTTTTCCAGTAATTACACTGCTCATGTCCCGCTTAGAGTCTTTGAACACTGACAGGCATTAAAACTCCTTATGCAGCACTATGTTACCATAGTCCAAAATCATGAAATTTTCTATCGATTTAATGAAACTTATTAACACCTAAGGTGCAAGGTGCTTTCGAGTCGTGCATGTGCGTAACAGGCGATTGAATGCCTGCATACGTGCTGCACTATGACTTTTTATAGTATCGATCGGAGGCTCGCATCATGTTATGGCCCAGTACTGATTACGAAACTTATCGAAAATTTAGCTCAATTGAATGATACATCATATAAAATTTCAAGCTATATGGTAAAACTGAACCGTTTATGGTTAAGACGGTGAGGAGAATTTGCTTCAAACTGTCTGTACTGTTCAGCGTTTATAGTAACTGTGTACCTCCTTATGAGTCAATGTAAAGGTCATAGTTTTTCCTGGGATCGGAGCTTTAGTGGTTTTCCCAGAGGCCGCCGAAAGTCGTTCATGGCTGACAAGAGTTAAGGAAAAGCTTTTTTGCCGATCCCTACTTCCCCTAATTAAATGTGTGAAGTAAGCTGGTCCAGCAGCCTCAGGTTAAAAATCTTGAGACTTTCAACATTGTTCTGTCCCTTTATGACCCTGATTTCGAAGCATTTAGTTGTAAAGAGGGCGGATATTTGCGGTAGAATTCTTTCCGAGGTTATCCTCGCTCTTATTCTCTTTCAATTATCAGTCTTCACGAAGACTTAAAGCAAAAGTGAAATGTGTCGAGGGTTTTCATAAGAATAGCCATTCCCTTAAGATAGTCCTAGCTATCCCCACTAATCTCCATTCTTTTTTCAGATCACAACAGTCTTTTCTCATGCGACGACCGTCGTTGTTTGCGTTGGATGTAATACAGTTTTGTGTACGCCGACCGGAGGGAAAGCGCGTTTAACTGAAGGTTGCTCGTTCCGTAAGAAGCAACACTAAAGTGCGTTGTTGTGTTACATAAATTGTTTTTGTTTGAAAAAATGTTTTATCGCACATGAATGTTTACGCTGTTGTTTCTTCTAAAGTGTCCATCGTTCTACGGCGATCTCGTTTTTGATTTCGTTCTCGGCGAGGGCTAAACAGGTGCTCTCGTTCTTCGCTTTTGAAACGTTTCGATCTTTTTTTACGATGAGCGGTTGGCTTGCGTTGATGGTCACGAGTGTGGTGAGTGTGCGAGTCGAGCATGTCAAGATCGGGAGGTTTTGGACGAATATAGCGGTCATTGAGCAGGATGAAGGCCCTAAAATTTAACGTAAATCGAGGAACTACTTGCTTTTGGGGTGAAGCAGATAAGACAGGCACGCTGTGCATAAAAGAGGGAATGGGATTTTGCCCGTTTACTTTCTATAGTTTTGCATTGGCTAACATTAGCAACTGTTCAAATCACAGTCCATCATTTCTAGGGGACATGGATACACATACATTCACACATTATGGTTCCAAAAGGTTCCGTTACCTGTACGTCTGAAGTGCAATGATAAGTGCATTTTTACAAGTGAAGAAGATCATTGTATAGGTGACGAGACTATGTTGCAGCATTAAGTATAAACGGACCTGAAGTGACAGTGCATATATAAGAGGTACTATAACCTAGACCTATGTGAAGAAAAACTCACTAATAGAAAAGGAATGTCTTGAAGAGAGTTGGCTAGTATGATAGCCCAAATGTCGACATCGTAGAATACCTGGAAAGATCGTCCTTTTGAAGTGGATGCATAACGGAGGCAAATAGTCTAACCTCCCAAAAATTTGGTGGTCCTGTATGAGGCATTATAAGCTCTTCGTAGGTTTTTGTTATGGCGACTCGCATTTTTCTTGCTCGGCTCACGGTGAGCACGAATGGGAATTGAAGAAGACTGAGCTGAAAAGGAGATTTGGATGTGGATGTTCATACAACAGAAAAGGGCTTCCTTACAGCTAAGCTTTGGAGAGATGAAAGGAGAAGGGGCAAGCGTAAGTAGTACTTGTAGAAAATGATCTCAGTCAATAGATCGACGTAAAGCCATAAAGAGTTTCGAAATATGTTCTCGAGTGAACGTATGGCTGTGGGGAAGAATGGCTCACCGTCCAAGCAGCGAGGACTATTTGTTGAACATTGACGTTATTGTAAACTGCCTTCTGTTTGAAAACATCGAAGAATTCAACAATGTCTGACGAAATTGCCTGAGGAATTGAGTTTAAGGAATTTCACACACAGCTTTTTCATGAACTGAAGACTGACAAGATATGCTAGAAGGATTTGCGACAGTTGTTCACGGCTGATGTCTCCTTTAGGCAGAAGCCATCGTCCAACAATGAGCACAACTAGGAGAAGTTGTTCAAGTAGTTGTAGATGCAGTTCTTCATCTGGTCCGCCTAAGAAAAGATAGGAGAAGTGAGCTTCCTGTAGAAGCAAGGAAGTGTCTAACAATTTTATAGACGGTGGTTGGTGCATTTATCTTACTGATTGCAATTCTGCTTTCCCCGAGTAATTCGTATTCCCGTCGCCATTCACATAACTTCGTCTCAAGCAACCATATTGGAGGTGCAGTGGCGACGATGTACAGTAGAAGACTGGTACAGAACCTATAATTTACAGATGCAATTTATAAGTGATTAGGGCAAAGCAAGGACCAACAGAGTGGACAGGGAACCCTGAATTTGTATCGGTCCGATTCTGGCCATCCACAGCTATTTCGTTCTGATGGGGAGGATCTGTATTTGAAGACTCAAGGGAATATCGATATTCACATAACTTTATCTCGAGCAATCATGTGGAGTAATCAGACGTTGTTGAATGTGCCACTTGTTATGTCGGCTCTAGGTAATCTTCGCACCTGGTCGCGTGGGAGGACTCCTAAGTGATTGGTGAGGAAATTGTTCTTAGAGGATTTAACTTAGCGGTAGACTGATCAGCTGTTGTTGAGCTATATTATTGATCTTATAAACTATTTTACTCCAGGCATAAATTTCGATAAATCTTGATGACAATGGTGCAACTGCAGTGGTGTTTTCTGCAGGTGGACAACTGGCTGCGGTTACTCTGGTTTTGCGAGTGAATCGAATATTGACTATGCATACATCTAGCGTTTCTTATCGGCGGGGTGCGAAAGTTCGGCAGCCATTATTCGTGCAACCCAGAGACGTCCTAATTCCAACGAAATACGGGGTTAGCAGCAACATATCTTCCACGCACAGTGTTTTTAAAATTATGTTGTTGCTTTCGCTCATCGTGGGACCATTTGACGAGAATTTATGGAACCCTTGAGGATGGTTAGATGTTCGGAATTGTGACATATTTTCATTCTAGTGTACTGACCACAATAATTAAACGAAATGTCATTAGTCAAAATAGAGGAGACGCTGATTTTGGTGGATTTCTGACCGTTCTCTAAAATGTTGTAAAACACAGATACGCGTATAATCGGTGTGCGGACCGGGGTGAATGAGGGTGGCGCATTCTCAGGATCGTCGAAGCAATCGTATACAGAACAACATTGCATAGACTGCATGAGGCGGGTTTCAATGGTGTGATAGCCCCGCATACGAAGGGTGGTTTCAACCATTATGTAGTTTTAAGTGCAGCCGTCTGAGTGATTTCCGAGAACGATAGCAATATTTCTACACCATGTACTTCTTAGAGTCGTCCCACTGTCCAAAAATTAGAGGCCTCGTTCATTTTTACGTTTCTCTTGGTTCTGTAGGAGAGACGTATCCAAGGGATATTTTAAAAATCGGATTCGTTCCCACCGCTTACCATTTTCGTTCATCACCAGCTCGCATAATAATCGTATAGGATCCTTCGAATACAATAAGAAGTGAGAGCAATGCAAATCCCCACACACCATCTCTGAAATGAATACTCTCAGGAGATATAGCGACGTCGATAATGTAAATGCTCTTTAGAAGCCACTAGGACAAGGTGGTACACCTGTTTTTATCTGTTCTATTTTTTTTGAAATTATCGCTGTGGAACAACACCTGCAAAAGGGATTTGGGATCTGGAAAGATCAATGTTCTTGGTTGGAAAGTTTTGCTGTTTGGAGTCAATAAAAGTTCAATTAAGATGGAAGTAAGCGGAATTGTCAGACAGCTGATGTTAGCAAGAGGAAGCTTTACCTCTTTTCAATAGTAGTTGTGTGCCATATAGTGACCAAAGAGTGGACGATGAACATAAATCGAGCGAGGATTGCTCTGAAATTAGCTTTTATAATACTGACTGGTTTTATGGAAACGCGTATTGCTTGTATCAGTGTCATGGCAATGGACCTGGCTTAGGAATTGAACCACTGAACTTTAGTAGCTTCTCGCATATAAGCTGTGGATCGGTATGCAGTCACGCACCTCTGGAGCTGTCATCGGGTGCCGGAAGTGTAAATTGATACGGAAGTCAAATGCAATTATGACATATCGGTGAAAATGTAGTGAGTGGAGGGGCACCCTTGTCTCCAACCCTAAGGTACGCGCTAGAGCGCAGTACGAATAGGCTTTTGACAAAGCCTCGGAATCGATGGAACATCGGATGTCAGAGGTAACCGAATGTTCGAGTTTTTAGCACGAGGTTATCATTTCACCCGCCCTGGCGTTCCTCCTGACCCTTACGTGAAAGCTATTATCCTCTGGCTATGAATCCTTTCTAGGCATTTGAACACCTCTTCGTCACTGCGCCATAGTTTTCAATTTTGGGGACTACGGGTGCCCCACCCCAGCTACATTATCATCGACATTTCCATTATCACTCTTATGGATGCTTCCCCAAAAATCTTGTGGAGGAAATTGTGGCAGATTCAGCTGATACCGTTTTTTTNTTTTTTTATAAGAGAGTGGCAGTAGTGAAATGCGAGCTAAGGATAGAGCCACACGGATCAGCGGCTCATGGCTCGCTTTTGAGCCTGTGGCCAGTAGGTGGAATCTAGCCTGATCAATCGAAGTTGAGGGCTGAACTCAGATTTAGTGGGTACATAGGCCCACAATTATAATCTTCTTGTCATACACAGTTCTTCGTTGCTTTTCAAGACCGATTCGAAAATTTACCGAGCTGGTCTATGCTCCTCCCAAATTCATGAACTTATCACCGGTCTCACAGAGAAAGCATGGAAATTTCACAGAGGGCTGAGAATGCCTTTCTTCGGAGAATACCGTGCATTCAACACTCACCGTCCAACGGAGATCAGTACTCGGGTTCCGTCTGCTTCGACTGTGGATTTACCTGAACGACGTGGCACATCGATAGCTACGGCTGTGTTACGTCGATGATCATCGGCGTTAGCCGGGTCGGCCGAGGCGCCGGTGGCCATACAGACTTCCGGATACAGAAACAGTTTGCTGAAATGGCTGACCATTGGTGGTGGAAGGATGTCTCAATACATGCATATTGACGTATTTAAAACGATGGTTTACTTCACAATTAGTATGGTTTAAATAGGTGAAATAGATGTCCTACAAGTTTTCCTTATGAAGCGATACTTTGTTGTTTCTCCCATATCACTTATTTGAATCCATCACTTGAATCTGTGGGCAGTTTCATCTTGCCAGAAATGGAATTCGAATGAAAATAGGGATAGGATGAGATTATAGCAAAAGGTTCCGCNGCCATACAGACTTCCGGATACAGAAACAGTTTGCTGAAATGGCTGACCATTGGTGGTGGAAGGATGTCTCAATACATGCATATTGGCGTATTTAAAACGAGGTTTACTTCACAATTAGTATGGTTTTAATAGGTGAAATAGATGTCCTACAAGTTATCCTTATGAAGCGATACTTTTTTGTTTCTCCCATATCACTTATTTGAATCCATCACTTGAATCTGTGGGCAATTTTATCTTGCCAGAAATGGAATTCGAATGAAAATAGGGATAGAATAAGATTAATGGCAAAAGGTTCCGCTTATAAACAATAGTGGAAGTATTATCGAGTCGTGGATTGTCGCTTCAATTCACCTGTTCTGTCTTTCAGGATGAATCATAGAAAAATAAATTTAGAGCTAGACTTCTCAAGATCAAAGTGGACGTCGTTCGATCTCCGTAATTTTGAAATGGCAGAATCTGGTACTACATCTACTTGCAATTCATTGAAGGCTGCTCAGTTCAGAGGAAGCAAATTGGTCGACTTTGTCTATATCCTCCTGGATTTTTTGGGATGGAATTTTCGACATTGAGATTTTTCGAGGTCCCAAAGGTCTTTCATATCCTACTAGGAGACTTTACAATACTGCTAATTGATATGTAATTGTTTCAAGTGTGTTCCAGCTGTTTGAACACGAGAATCGGTATCTACGGAGGCCGAGGCCCTCTCTGGGTAACAAGAGTTGCAATATTGATAAATTTCTGATGGCACACGCACCCAATTTCGATTTCTCAGAAAGTCCTACAAATAGAAACTTTATGAAAAGATGAACGACAAAAATACGTCCAGTATACAGTGGTCAGTGCTACTGCTAGTACTAAAATGATATTATCGTAACTCGTTGTAATTAATAACCCGTTTGATCCAGTGTTTAATGACCCATGTTGAGAAATTTGACCACAATAATTCAATGCCCTGGCCGTGGACTTTGGACTGCGCAAGTTCACTGGGTCAGTGCTGCGCGGTTCGCGAACTTTCCCTGGTTCTCCATTTTTTATCTGCTCCCTCGCTCAATTTCCTTTTTTTATTTTTATGATTTTCCTTTTTTTTGTATATGCATGCGGTTGGTAATGTGTACTCGGCGATTTAGTGTCTTGTAACATTTGATGCACATTCAAATTACCCAGATAGAGCCCCTGAAGAGAAAGGATGTGAAGGTGAGAGTTAAGGAGAGCGAGAGAGTTGTAAGGATTGCTTGGAAACAATAGGATGTATGAAATGATTGAAAGGTTTTATAAAAGTTATCTGAGAAGATGATGAAAAAGACGTCCATTGTGAACGAGTTGTCTTGAAAGCTGACAATGTGCAAAGAGTCGAGCCAAGCATTATCCTCTGGGGACTTGGGAGCTCGAAAAGGAGTTGCGAGATTCAAAGACTTCACTGGACTTCATAGACATCAACATAGACGCTGTGTGTAGACTCAAAGGCGTAAAACACTCCGTTTTGATAAATGGGTCTCGTGAAGCACTCATTCATGGACGCTTTTTTTTGCTCCAACACCAACTTGGGATTATTCCGAGTACTTGGTATTTGTACGATGGCGGACGAGTCTCTACAAGCCCACGAACTGGCTCCTTTGAGGAAACTTTGGTTTTTTTCAACGACCATTCCTACACGAAAATAATATAACCCTTGTCCCTGGAAGATCTACTGTATTGCTGCTGGATTGCCTTTTCTGGGAATCCCGAATGTTCATTCTCCTCGACGGCCTAGACATCTAAAAAGCCAATGCTGACATTTGATTGTCAATGTTTCATTGGAATTTTGGGCTGCTTGGTATTCAGTCCGGCATCTGATTTTTGTCGCTTTTTATCTTGGACTCGATTTGTCAGAGGGTTGACGAGAATGTTTCNAAGGAAGTGAGGGAGGGGAGAGGAGAAACAACTTTTCCATTTTCTCAAAGAAAAAGGAAGGAAGAATGGATAATTGATAGTATGCAATGGATCTTCGACTTCTATATCTGTGGAACTTTGTGGTAGATGTTAATTTCCTTAGCCAGCTTGGTTATTAGGATTTCTCAGAAATATGCCACTTCATTGGTTTCTTTGGTAAATGCTCTGACAAATAATCTCGCCATTACAAAGGTCGTGACTAGTATGTATCCACGTTATCAGTAATTCATCAATACGGTCATTTATCTTGCAGCTCACTATCTATTTATTTGTTATTATGTATTTTTCCAGTGATCCAAATCCTGCACAATGGTGGAGCATTTTTCCCATTCAATCGCCTCCAGCATGGTTCCTGAGGAAGGGCTACGAAATCGGCCGAAACCAGGCGTAGCTGGTGAGTCGAAATCTTTGCACCTTCACATCACTAGTACAATCGTTGGGGTAGTTTTGTAGTTGCAAGAGTTACATAATTTAAAAGAATGCGTGAAATATAGCAAAATAGAAATCTATGTGAAATTATTCACAAGCATATCTGAAGTCATACCGCAGCCTTTAATGAACACGAAAACTCGATATAGCAAAAGGTAAATGTAACTGTAAGTTACCGCCCAAATTTGGCGCGTTGTTGTAGACGTAGCCAAGGAACGGATTGGAGCTGTCGTTAGCCGACTAAGTCAGTCTTGAGGCACTTATGGCTAGCTCTCCGCCGTGCGCCCCCATGAGGCATCCCTCATCGCCGTCCATTTTTGAGCGATGGCATTTGCTGAAGTTTGACGTCCTATCTGCCCATCTTCACCAGAAGTGATCTTCGTTCGTGGAACTCGGAATAACAATTTACTTCTTACTTGATTATAATCTTTACGAGAGAGTGGAATGGAGGCTCCTAAATCCGAAGCGTACGAAAACAAGGGCGAATGGACCGTTCGAAAAGAAATCGGAGTATGGAGAACGAGATTCAGTCTAATGCTGCTGCTTTACCCTGACATTGTTTTTATCCAATCTGCCAATTTTCTACTTCACAACTCTAAATCTCAACGAATCAGATGCATGAAGGCTCCAGGGCGGGGAACTCGTGAAGAGACGCGATTGATGATCGCTGATTGTCTGACGGATACGCAAAATCGAACACGAGGGACCAATTTAGTCACTAATAGCCCACCAACTAGCGGAGTAACCACAGATCATGTCTTCTCGGCTACATTTAACCTCCAAAAATTTCTATAAGATCGGCATGGAGAATTGTTACCAGCTTAATATATGGACATAGGATGAGCACATGCATAGTTTCTCATTCAGTTCTGTTCTTTAGCTACGTCTGCATTGGCACGCCTGATTCAGGATCGAACTTTCATTTGCAGTTACATTTTACTCGACCTGAAAGGATTTTTGGGGTTTTTTACCAATTCCTCAGTGATTACTCCTATATCATCATATGATGTCCACTGGTTTCTTGGCCGTCAATCCTTTCCTCTAACAATAAGAAGGACGCCAGTAATTCAATTTATATGGAAAGATGTTCCGAGGGTGTCTGGCCACAATACGGTCGAATTTAGCAACAGAGTCCGCTTGACGTCAGCGACGCGTACTCTCGTCACTTTCATCCGTATGAGTATGACCCTCTTCCCCCTCTTCTCTAACTATTCAAACGCTTTTCGGGATACGCCCACGCATTCGGCTCCCATTCAGAATTGTTCAAGGGGCTGAATGATTCCGTTGCCATCACAAGGAGGTCACTTTCATGGCCAAATAGCTTCTAGTTTTCGAAGCGAATCTGTTCTGATGAGCTGAGGACCACATAGATCTAGAAACTTATGAATTTGACGTGGCAGAAGTCAGTCATGGACGGCCATGTGATATTCTCGAAAATCGCTGAGATCAACAGACCTTCGTAGCGGGGTTCTAGCACAATCAGACCAGTCAAGTTCGATATGTGAATTTTTTATAAGAAGGAACGAATTCCATAGCTTGAATTTGAGATGGGCAATGCGGTTTGATACGTTTGTGGAAATCGTTAGATTGTGACGCTTACATCGAAGCAAAGATGAACACCAACTATTTTGTCAGCACTTTTTTTCCTGTAAACTCCAAATGGTCGTAAAGAGACATGATAAAGGGGAAAAAGAGCCGACAGAGTTGCAACTGAGTTGAGTTCCTTTGGGAACACTTAACAATGTATCATCCATCCTGATGTAGCAGCAAAAGTGCAAGTTGTAGAACAAGTTATGAGCTCGAATCTGGGAGAGGTCTGTTGCCTGTTGTCCTACTAACTCAACGAACGAGTTCAACGTTCCACCCAGGGATTTGAGCGAAAATTATTGTCAGACTCTGATTGACTAACGTATAATCCACGCTAGCACACCCACAATGAGCTGTTTAGTGCTTCCCCTTGCCTTGCATCCAGCACTTGCTGACATCTACTGTGAGCTACCCTTTGTGCAGCAGTTGCTCTCCCAATTTGTGAAGAGATGATCGC